AAGAAGAAGAAGAAGAAGGAGAAAGTATCATTCTATAATTGATATCCCCCTCAGAGGAGCGTGACTTTCCATCTGGATTTTCAAAAAGTCTTACTAGGAGCCCCCAGGTTGGAATGGTTCCAAGATTCTTGTCACACCAAGACGTGGGCATCCGTGTTTTCCTTCAAATTCACACAAAGGTGTGAACTGACCTTTTCTTGGTCACCCAGGTTGCCACCTTCAGCTACTTGCTGCGGAGACACAAAGGGCTCTGCGGGGGTGCAGCCCACAGAGTGCTATTTGAGGAATGCCAAGTGGTTCGCCAGGACCCAGATGGGACTGCTCGCTCTCGGAAAGTGCCCAGAATGTGTACAGCTATTTTTGTTGAGTTATAATGTTATTGCTCACAACAAAGTCTAATATTAAAATCCTAATATTAACAAGGCCTTTGGGAAGGGCAGAACATTTTAAAACTTGCTAATTGTGTTACTGAGAATGTCAAGTAATACTGACACCTATGAATAAACTTTTGGAGTAACCCTGACTTTGGCTATTAGAAATCAGAACCATTTCAGGCAATCCTAGCTGCTTGATGAATATATTCAATTAATTAAAACCAAGAAACTCTTATTGTGTGACACCAGCTTTGCCTTTATTTTAGAAACTATTTTGTGGCTTTTGCATGCCATATATTTTGTAGCAGATCTGACATGACAGTGATGCTTAGAAGCAAGACCATGAAATCCTCAAAATCAAGTTTGTTTTCTGTGTGCTTTTCAAGTTCAGAAAGGATCTCTCTGTATTTTCGCTTGTTTTCCTGTCCCTGAAAGAATAAAGAAGAGTAAGTAACAACCTACTTCAATGGCCACCCTGAGTTTACAAGTAATAAGCAATAATGAATATATTTTGTGCAATAACAACCTGTCAAATTGTTACCCATGCTATCCGATAAGCATTGTGTTAAAGAGTCTACAAATTATCTCATTTAATCCTCTCACATAATCCTCACAATGACCTCACTAATATTTACTTTGGCTATTTCCAATCTATAAAATCATTATCAGAGATTCAGTAAAAATAAGGAACTTTTCATAAGTTATTTAATTATGGTTGCACCTGGATTCTTAGCCTCGCTTTCCCAGTTTCAGCATCCATGTTTTCAGAGTCTAGCTATGTTTTCAGATTTTCAAAACAGAATTTCTTAGCGCCCCCCCCCCTGCCCCCAAACACTGCTGATGGGACTATAAAATGGTGCAATCACTGTGGAAAATGGTGTAGTACTATCTTAAAAGTTTGGGAATAAAATACCATATGCTTCAGCAATCCTCTACGTGGTCTTTGCATATCTTCAAGAAATAAGAGCATGCTGACACCTTAACCAACATGATCGTTGAAAACAAAAGGGGGCAGAAGAAAAGGTAGCAAAGAAAGCTGATCATGCCCAGATATTAAAAGAAATAGTGTCTGGGGTCTTAAAGGCTTATAGCTAAACGAGTGGTTATCTAGTAAGGAAGCAACAAAGTCCACATGGAAGAAGCGCCCCAGCCTGTGTGATCCTGAGGTGTCGGCAGGGATAGGTATCATATGTTCAAAAACAAGCAATGAAAATTGACATGATGAAGCGAAGACAAAGTGGATACCCCAAACCCACCTGTATGACAATTGCAGGTGTCCTCACAGAAGGACTAGACTGGAGGGAAGATATATCCAGGATGAAGTATAGCACTGATGAAACACATACCTCCCTTTACTATTATGGTCCCAGTTTTACCTCATTTATCTTGTTAGACCTGCATATATGCATTAATATAATGAAGATTGTCCAGTGCATGAGATCCAAGATAGATAAACCTTGCAGAAATAGTAATGGAGGCAATGATCCCCTGGGGGTACGGGAAGAGAGCTGGGGAGATGGGGGAGCCAATAGCAAAGATGACTATAATCCCACTCGAGGGGAACGGATAGCTGAATTGTAAGTGAATGGATACAGTGGATGGTGTAAGATATGTCAAAAAAAGAGAAAGAAATATGAGTATACAGATATATGTACACCAATGTTCATCTCAGTATTATTCATAGCAGCAAAAATAATGGAAACAACCTAAATACCTATCAATGAAAGGCTGGATAAACAAACTATGGCACATACACACAGTGGAACACTACACAATGTTAAAAACTGATGCTGAGTCTACAAAACATCTCGTGACATGGTGGGTTTGGAGGGCTTTATGCTGGGTGGAATAAGTCCATCACAATAGGACAAACGTTGTGTGAGAAGCACTCTCTCGTGGTTACACGAATGGGGGTGATGGTGGTTACCTTGGGTGAAGGGAACGCACAATCATAGGGAAATCAACAACAACAACAACAATGATGGCGGCAGGGGAAGGCACGGGGAGGAGTGCCGGAGTGAAAAGCGGCAGAGGTAAATTCTGCTATCCGCACAATGATGAACGGGTTGAACAAGTGGGGGAGGGACAGTGAGAGTACCCACCAATAGATACAGGTCTGATAAAGACTATTTCTACATGCTTATTTACCTGTGTTCTAAATATAGCCATAATTGTGATGGAACACATTGGGGGCACAGTTATGAAAACTTCTCTGTATTCAAATATCTTCAGAGAACAAGCTGTTGGTGGTAGGGGCAGAGGATCATGGTCCCAGGAGACATCAAGGTCAAGTGGCATAACATAATCCACTAAGGTGAGTAGCAACTGGGTTTTGAAAACTCTTGAAGGGTTCTCGAAGGTGCAACAATTGGTCCAGAGCAAAGAAGAGCGACGAAATGGAAGCCACAGGGAAAGAATCAGTCCAATGTGCACGTGGGTCATGCAAGCATCAGCCTTCATAACCCTGAGACCAGAAGAACTAGATGGTACCTGGCTACCTCTACCCACTGTTCTCAAAAGAATCACATTAGTAGGCACTAGAGAGAGTGGGAGAAAAAGGTGCAGAGAAGTGAAAAACAATTATTTAAAACAATGATCTGGATTAGGTGTTGAGGGGATCAGGTATCAGGCATCTAAGACCCAGAACAAAATCATACCCAATGTGAAAGGGGTGGGGGCATGGAGTGGAGACCCAATGCCTATCTGTTGACAATTTGACATCCCCTCAGAGAAGGGTCACAAGGAAGAGATGAGCCAGTCAGGGTGCAGTATAGCCCAGATGAAACACAACTTTCCTCTAGTTCCTTAATGGTGCCTTCCCTCCCACTATCCTGACCTCAGTTCTCCCTTACAAATCGGAGTAGACCAGAACATGCACACTGCTACAGTTAAGAGCCTGCAACACAGGGAATCCAGATAGATAAATCCTTCAGGGCCAACAAGGAGAATAGAGATACTAGGCGGATTAGGGAAAGGTGGGGGGAGAAAGGGGAACTCGATCACAAGGATCAACATATAACCCCCTCCAAGGGGGGCGAACAACGGAAAAGTGGGTGAGGGATGATGGAGGACGATGTAAGATATGAAAATAATAACCTATAACTTATCAAGCGTTCATAAGGGAGGGAGGCAAAGAAATGGGGAGCTGATACCAAGGGCTCAAGTAGGAAGAAAATGCTTTGAAAATGATGATGGCAGCATATGTGCAAATGTGCTTGACACAATAGGTGAATGTATGGATTGTGATAAGAGATGTAAGAGCCCCCAATAAACGTATTTAATAATATTTTTTTAAATGACCTGGGGTAGATACTGGTCGATCTCCAGGAATTATGCCCTCAGTCACCTCCAAGTCTAGAAATGCATTTACTGCTCAATTTTCAGCCAAAACAACAAACAGGTTTATAAGGGAAACAGTAACGCCAGGGAAATATGCACTTCTTAGAGTAATCAGCCATCTGGGGTCAAAAGCGCGGCATTTGCCCAAGGACAAAGTTCAGAAAGGTTAACAAAGAAAGAAGAATGGACATGGGAATTGGGAGGAAATGCGATAAGTGATGTTATATTTTGGGGACTGAAGTCACTGATATGAAAAAAAATGTATGGTATATGAGTTGTTGAAAGGAAAACAGATTTGCTCTGTTAAACCTTCACTCAATCCACATTAAAAAATTAAAAGGAGTAGGAACAGGAGGTGGAGGAAAAGAATGAGGAAGAGGAGGAAAAGGAGGAGGATTCCTTAACATAGAGTCCGGGTGGCACAATGGGACACTTGTCTGCTACCCTAAAAGTTGATGGTTGGAGCCTCCCCAGCAGCTCCCTGGGAGACAGATCTGATGGTCTACTCCTGTGAAGACCACAACCTAGACAGCCCCTAGGAGCGGTTCGACCCTGTCACAGGGTCACTAGGAATCAGAAGTGATTCAATCCCTCTATCCTGGACATGTCCGTCCGCTGTTTGTTCTCTAGAAAAGTAAGGTTATTCAGAAATATGGAATAAAAGGTGATAAAAATATGATCTTGCAGCTACCCCAGCGACTGTATAAACAGCAAGGTCATATAATTCACTATTGTACTGAGCTGTATTTTTTTTCTTTTTAATCATTTTATTGGGGCTCATACAATTCATCACAATACATAGATCAATTGTGTAAAGCACACCTATACATTTGTTGCCCTCATCA